GGGCTTTAGAATATTGATACAGTATCAGGAAATGAAATATCGTGATATTTCAGTGTATCGATATTTTCTTACACCCCTACTTTTTGTTCTTTTTTTCATTCAGGTGTTTTTTTTTTCTTGACTCGTTGCACATTTTTAAATTGGGTCATGTGTTTGGGCGTGACTCCTGACCTACAGGATTGAACTGGTCCAGATGTATTTGAATCATCTGCATGTGTGCAGCTTTAACATGTCGTACGACTTGTTGGGATTTAAGCTTGTTCGTGTGAGTCGGTCTTTAACACTTGTGCTGCACAGAAGAGCTAAAAACAGAGTTTCATATTAAAATTATCCCCACTTCAACAGCCTAAAACACTCCCTGTGTTCACAGTTACTGGATGTACGTGTTGCAGACGTCTCAGGGGAAATTATTAGTGAAATATTTGTGGTTTTTGCTCCTAAAACATGGTTTTATTGTGACCCCTGTGGCCGTTCTGGTGTGTGATGATGTTTTTTGTCCCCATGCAACATGAATTATAAGTTTGACTTGAATGTGAAGCATTTTGGACCAACTTCATGGTTTGTTAAAAGAGGTCAAATTTTGACTCAGTAAACCAGAGTTCAGCTGAGAAACCTGAGTCTTATTTAAAAAAATCACCTTAAACAGCATCAAGTATTAAAGTTCATCTATACAACATGAATAGAAATATATTCAAAGTCTGCTTTTATTAGTAACTTTAGAACAGATGAAAAGTTTGAAATGTCTTTACTGTATATAAAATAATCAGTCATAAAGAATCAATATAACAGGTTTGAAACATACTCAAAAAATGTGAAGGTTTTTGTTTTATTTCTGTTTTTTGATTGATCGATAACGTGCTGTTTGTTCTGTGTTCCTCATCAAACTGAAATGCATTTAATAAAACAATTCCACTTTTCAGCTTGAGTTTGATGTTTCATATTTAAGGATGGGAGTTGTTTTTACGTTTCAGATCACAGGGTTCCTGCGGGTCCTTAAAACGTCTTAAAAGGCATTGAGTTTGTCAATCCAAAAAATAAGGCCTTAAAATGCCTTAAATCGATCTTTCAGAGGTCTTAAAAATGGTAACGCATTTTAAGTAGGATGATTTTAAACTGTCTCAAATATTAAAATAACTGGTAATTTTTTTATATCTGTATAATTGACACATTTTTCCTCATAGCTAGTTGTTCTGTGTTAAAATAAACATTTGGGTAAAACTGTCACCGTTATTTATTTTTCACATTTTTATTTATTGTGAATTGGGTCTTAAATTTAATTTAAAGTGGCATTAAAGGTCTTAAAATGTCTTAAATTTAATTTAAAGTGGCATTAAAGAGGTCTTAAAAAGTCTTAAATTTAATGTAAAGTGACATTAAAGGTCTTAAAAAGTCTTAAATTTAATTTAACATGACATTAAAGGTCTTTAAAAGTCTTAAATTTAATGTAAAGTGACATTAAAGGTCTTTAAAAGTCTTAAATTTAATGTAAAGTGGCATTAAAGGTCTTTAAAAGTCTTAAATTTAATTTCAAGTGCCATTAAAGAGGTCTTAAAAAGTCTTAAATTTAATTTCAAGTGACATTAAAGGTCTTAAAAAGTCTTAAATTTAATGTAAAGTGACATTAAAGGTTTTAAAAAGTCTTAAATTTAATTTAAAGTGACATTAAAGGTCTTAAAAAGTCTTAAATTTAATTTAAATTGGCATTAAAGAGGTCTTAAAAAGTCTTAAATATAACTTGCCTTAAGCTGTAAGAACCC